AGAAAAAATGAAGAAATTGTATTTCCCTAATTCCACTTCGTTGGTTTGTCTGTATACTTTTTCTCTTTTCTCTGTTATCTAAGAACCACTCCATTTTTTTTTTTGGTATATTGTACGATGCAAGCTACAATAAATCAATTCCCAAAATTAAATGTTTTCCAATCACAAATTTTAAGAAAAAAAATATGTCGTCTTATTGTTTTCCTGAAAGCTGAGGGGATTATTCTATTTTATACGCTTTCAAAAGTTGTAAAATGAACGTAAATTTCATTCGTTAATGTTATACTTTCTGAATCTTTTTGAAAATTGTTTTTAGACTTTTATAATAAACTGGCATAAATTTCACACACACATTGCCCGTCGCTGATGCTACGAAAATATTTTCTGTAACTTTATTTTGTTGACTCTTTATAACAAGTAAAGTTTTTGTCTCTGTTGGCAATTTTCTGACATTCCTCAGGGATGAGCGTTTCCACGCCTTAGTTCACGAGTTTCTTCAAATTCTTGCGGATGCATTTTTTTTGCGATGTGAATGCATATTAGCATTGGAATTAAAAGTTTTCGGGCAATGTACTGCGAGGCCATATACTCTTTTAAATATGTGGCTTTTTTAAAATTCTTTTTGCACACATTACATCCGAAAGAACGTCGGGGATTGTGCACAATACGTTTACGGCTCAACGTAGCAGGACGACTAGGCGATACTTTTTGGCAAATATCGCAGACGTGCAAGTCCTTGGATTGCTCATGGCGTTTCTTATGTTTGTTAAGCGTGTTTTTGTGCTTGTGCCATGACCCGCCTCCGTCGCATTGCACTTTGGGGAAAGAAATGCCTTGATGTTCCAACTGATGTCGCACATTACGCCCTAATAATGCTCTTTGGTATGAGTTGATAATTGAGCTGCACTATCGAAACTAAAGAGAGCGTAATAAAAAATTTATGTAAGTGATAGCAGATAACTCAACGTTTATTGCAGCTCTTACAAGTGGTCGTACGATCTCTATGCACAAACATCTTATTGATCATTTGGATTAGAACCGCTTTTTAACAGAGTGTACACCTAAAATACACACACACAAATCCAGTATGAATTATTTGCGATTTTTAAACAAATTTTTTTTTTTGCTACACGTGCTCATGGCCCTTATAAGCAGCTATTATTATACAAGTGTTATTGTATACCCAAATTGATGTCAGCGCCATATAAATATTTAACGATGTCTAAGCGTCCAATGTAGCATGCGCCACACAATGGCGCACACGACGTCCTCGCCGGCATTGATACACGAAACTCTCGGGTAACTTTAAGCACACCATATAAGAAAACAATCAGCTAAACCTCAAAATCCTCAAAAATTAGGCAACCTTGTGCATCAACACGATATTAAACCTGATTAAACATCATTAAACTTGATAAAACTTGATTAAACATTATTAAACATTTCAAAATGAAGCCTGGCTTTTCATAATTGACCCTTATTTCTAGAATAATCAACAATAGGTAGATTGCATTGACTGTATTT